TTCCCGAATTTAGGGGTGCCATTTTGGAAGTCCCTATAATAAGGATTATACTATTTTGGGGTCTATATTGGGGTCTCCTATATAAGGAAACTACCATCCCAAGCCTTAGGCCTGGAGATCCAAGTCCTTCTGAGCCCAAGAGAGAGTCTTCTTTTCCAGGGTTTAGGGCTCAGGGTTTATGAGTTCCTCTCCAAACAAGTTTGCCGAAACTTGATCGGGCGACACAAGAATGTTTAGAATCCCGACTTGTTCGGGGAAGGGGGTGTTGCTAATCAGAACCCCAAATTAGGGACTCCCCATTCGGACCCGCAGCTTGAAGAGAGATCATCACGCTGCCTTTTGTTGCATACGCAAGCTACAGTGGTACAGTATCTGCTGAGCATTGAGGGTTAAGGGTTTACGGCCAGAAGGTTAAGGGTTACCCTAAGGGTCCAAGGACCCAAAGAATAGGGCTTTAGAGTCCAAATACCACTCGTATAGTATTTGGGCCCTAAAGCCCTATTATTTGGGTCCTTGGACCCTTTCAGGGTTAGGGTTTGAGCCTTGTGCTGAAGTAAAGGCCTGCTTGTTAGCGTACATCAGTATCGGGAGCGTGCATGAGAATCGCAGCAAAACGCGCACCCTAGTTTAGGGGGTTTAGGGTTTAGGGCTTACTGTAGGGGATTGAACTCCTCAAGGCCTTCTGTCGTAAGGATCCCTCATGCAAGAATTCGTTGGATCAGGGAACCTTGCAAGAGCCCTTGCCCCTTCATATGGAAGTGTCCCCAAATTAGCGGTGCGTTTTTGGGGGGTCTTCCCCTATTTTAGGAAAATGCCATATATCATTTTTTCTTGTATCCTTCTCTCTGAGCTTAGCACAAACATCAGGCGGCTGGTTCATCCTGTGCATCCTGAAGCCCTAAACCCTAAACCCTAAACCCTCATCCCAACAGCCTAGCCCTGACCCCTAAAGCGAATCCCTGAACCCTAAACTCTATAGACCCCAAGCCGCCCTGAACCTAATCCCTAGCCCCCAATCCCTAAACCCTAGCGCGTAATCCCTCAACATAATCCCCAAACTAAACCTGACCCCCTACACCCCAACACCCTATAGTCCCCCTTAAGTAGATAGAATATGGGGTATATGGGGATCTTATTATAATATACCCAAAGCCATATTCTACTACTTAAGGGGGACTATAAGCCCAAAAACAGCAAGCCCCAAAGACCTGTCGCTGCCATGGTCAGTCTTAGCCGGTGCTCAGGACCTTTTCCTTACACGTCTGGCACCTGGCTTACAGCTCCCTATAAAGAGAGGAACGTAGGGGTCTATGCAAGTAGAGTGGGAGTTATACCATGCTACTATACTGTGGAGCCTATCTAGTGAAAGTACTTTTTGAGTATGCTCTGCTATAAGTAAATGAGGATTATAGAGAGATACGTTTGGCAACCATTCGGGCTTCTACATTGCTAGCTCAGTTTTTCTTGTCCAGGTTCTGTTGTGGGTTCTTGGGCTCTATAGAGGGTACTTGCGGGGTTTAGGCGTTCAATGGGATGTCTGGGAAATTTAGCCGTGGTTACACTGGAGGATGGCGATTATGTACTCGAAGCCAGTGTGGGCCCCACTTGTCCAACATAGGGCGAGCCCTCAGCCCTGAAGCCTAAACCCTTATCCCTAATCCTAAACCCCAAACCCTAAACCCTAAATGAAAATGGTTGAAAGTTGACACACGAACCAACAGTTCTTGCACGGGTACGGCTTGACTGCACGTGCATGGGGGCTCATGGTTGGAAAGGACGAAAATGGGGGCAGGGTTCCCAAAATTAGAGGTTGCTTTCAAGCGGATATGGGGCCTATATGTATGGATGTATTGGGATATATAGCGTTTAGGGTTTAGGGGTTCCCCAACTTAGGGGTACCTTGTCGGGGTCTGCACAACAAGGATTACAGCATTTTGGGTGTCGAAGAGGTCACCTTTTTTCTAGAAACTACCATATGTGATTCAGAAGCTTTAGATGTAAGGTTGCAAAGAAACCTATGGCGCTCAAACAGATTCTTGTAGGGATGGTGCAGGGATAGGACATAATCATTCCTATCATCAGGTAGTAGCCTCTTTGATTTTTGTAGGTGCCTTGTACTGCAAGGATTTGTGGTTTGGAGCTTTCCCAAATTTGTGTGCGAAGTAAAAGGCCTAACAGAGATGGAACTGAATGACAAAGAGCCCTGTCTTTGCCATGGAGACGCTCTCGGAATCAAGCCCGATCATCATCGCATCTCTGAAGCATCGATGCAAGACCAATGCCCCGACACCATCTTTTTAATAGGGCAATATTGGGGTTTGTATTGGGATAATGGAAAAGAAAATAGAAACTACTATAGTATAATAGGGTAATACTGGGGTTGTATTGGGATAATGGAAAAGAAAATGAAAACTAATTTTTGAGCCCTCAACTCAGAACTGTTGAGGCCCAAAACGCCTCACGCTAAGCCTACTTACTGAATGCCCGAGGCCCTTCAAAATCTACATTTCTCTAGTAATAACGTTCTGGGAACCAAGCAAGTGTAAAGTGAACCTACCCAGCTACTAAGTAAACCTCTCCAGCGTAGAGAGCGCAAAGCCCTGTAAGCCCTCAAGCGGTGCGCAGGCCGACGTGCCATTTCCTGGATTCGCCAGGAGCTTCCTCAGCATGTGCAGATATGGCAAAGCACTCCATGGGTCGGTTTAGGGTTTAGGGTTTAGGGTTTAGGGCCCAAGTTATCAGAGTGGTCTTTAAACAATGCATGTACCATCAAATTGGATATGGGATATTTTGCAACGCCAGGGGAATCTCGGTACTGAATGTTCAGGGCTTGACATAAACCATCATGGAATAACAATGGTATTCGCTAGTATACTTCGGTGCTTTCCACGTTCGTTTCCATGACTCCTATATAACCTCTATAGCAGGGCTTGGGGGTTAAGATGTTGTTCCTTAAGACCCTGAGCCTTAGAAAACGCCTAATGGTTAGGGGTGAGGACCTGAAACATCGTGCTCCTTCTTGTAGAGTCACTTAGCAAGTAAGAGTCCCAAAGCCCGGCTACGGACTCCCTGTACTCATTTGCTTCTTACTTTGCGGGTCCAAGTTCCGGATGCCCCTGAGGACGACTTCATGAACATGCAAAGCGTAGCAGCAAGCCAAAGCTATGGGAGCCGCATGAGATTGGAGACTGGAGCCCTCAAGAGCTGTCTGCAAGAAACCTAGCCAAGTCCGTGCTCCCTGCCTACTGCAACCTTATATGATCCATCGTCTAAACTCCGAAAAAAGGGGGTTATATAGGCAGGGGATTATGTAGGGGAGTATTCTAGGGGCTACTAAGGGGAATACCTTGAGTTTAGACTATAGCTCATATAGCTCCCGCTTTGCAGAAGCTTAGCCCTAGGGTCTTTACTTTGCCTGTTCCAAATGGGGTGGTTGTCAAAATTATGATCCCGTTTGGTGTACCCTAAATATTAGGTGCCGCATCATAATAGGGATCCAAAAAGGGACAATAATTTTGACAACCACCCATATCTAAGAAGAAGAATTCAACAGTGGAGCCTACTCTGGATTTGGCTGACCGAACATGCAGCTAGCAGCATGTGCTCTCCAAAGTAGCTTGCTTTTCCTTTAGTCCAAAACCCCCAGGATCCAAATAGCCAAATGAAGGTAGTAATTTACAGACTTTGTGGCCCAATGTAGGTATTATTTGTATACTTGGATCCCTAGGGAAAAGCAGGATGCCTTCGCATGTGCCTCCATGGCAACTAGTGTGGCTCTTCAAAGAGGAAATTGCTAAAACAACAAAATCGTGCAAGACACACGCTATACTGGAGAAGTAAACAAGGGACTCTGATGTTGACACATCCATTAGTTAGAATGTTCCGCCTCCAATGAAAGTCATACTTCTGAAGAGCCCCTTCATATACAGGGTTGCTGTTTAAGGAACGTAAATTAAGCTAGTATAATACGGAACCCCTATGTTCACTATACACCCTTATTATGCTAACTGAATTTTCTTAACCGCAACCCAATATACTTGTAGCTCGCATGTTTCTGGCGGCTCTCTCCCCATAGTCCAAAGACAGGCGCGGCTGGGGCTCAGGTGGCTTTGGGCACGGGAATCGCAGAGATGTTCCTGCAGTTTGTGAAGGCCAGATACCGACCACAAGGGCACCGCCTCCTCATAATACAAGTCCTCCCCTGCCTTCAAAAAAATCGACTACCCAAAAAACGTGCTGCAGCCCGTCCCAGATCCGAAAACATTTACAAACATGATGCCATCCTGCATTGCACTGCACTGGGCCGACCTTTGGTAATGTAATAGTCCGAAAAATGAAGAATGCTTTCTTTTATATCCCTTACAGTATCACGTACCCTTTTGCTACATTAAGTTTCCAATAATTCGGGCATTTCAGTACTTTCACTACATTAGCTTCCAGCACTTCGGAGGAGGTAGGCTGGAAGTCCTTGACTCGAACCATTTGGAGCCGTAAGAGATGAAGAGCTCCTCATCCTTCTTCACTGGCCTGCAGGAGCAACGGAAAATGGGAAGTACTATTTAGGGGTTTAGGGTTTAGGGTTATAGTCCCCCTTAAGTAGATAGGGGTTATGTTAGGGTTCTATTGGGATAATGGCCTGGGGTTGAGGCTCAAAGGTCACAGATTCAAGGTTTGAGGCTTCAAAGATGAAAGGTTAACAGTTTCATTCGTCTTTTGGGTCCCATAAACTCCAACCCTAAACCCTAAACCCTAAACCCTACTCTAAACCCTAAACCACGCCCTGCATGATGCGTGCATCCTCTGCGCTAGGAACTTTTCGTCCACAGGATTTGCAAGTATGGGACATAGGGTTTGGGTTGAGGGTTTAGGGTTTAATCCGGTCCTTTGCTAAGGCCAAATTCTTTAATTAATGTTCCTTAAAACCCCACATCAAATGGAGAACATCATCTGACTCATGTGGGGATAGCAAATCCCTTTTAAGACATCTACTCACCTGCGGCCTCAGGGTATAGAATCGGCCCACCAGCCGGCGTCCATGCTCCCTTCGCTGCTCCCAGGAGAACTCGGTGTTCGGATCCTTGCCCGGGGGACGGGTGGAATAACATCTGATCAAAGGGTTGATGCAAGTGTATGTATGTACAATACGTATCCATCTATCTGTCTATGAATCTATCTTCTGTATATCTAGTAGTTACTTGGGTTCCCATATAGCCAAAGCCAAGCCTGTTTGTTACTCTTTCTGACTCCCGGGCTGGCACCGAGGGGCCCCTTAACTGAGTACGTTGATTTCGGGACTGCGCTTAAGGATGCGGTACTAAAAAAAACAGGGCCCTAATTCGGGTAAAATCCCCATCCTCCGCATGGTTGTGCAGCGACGCAAAGCCCAAGCCGAAGATCGAGTAGTTCTTTGCCTGAACCCAAGGACGCCCAGGACGTCCCAAGGCTTAAGGTAGGGCAGATGTGTATTGGATCACATGAGGACCGGGTCATTACAGGGCCGTTCCCCACTCCCCCTTCATTGCCAATAAAGAGGAAAGTCTAAGAAAACCCGTTGCTTCTGGATTGGTTTGCGTACCAATGTTCATGGAAGCTGCTGCGCAAGCGGCAGAAGCCAAGATGTTCTGCGTGCCCTGTGCTAGAGCGTTCTTTGCGCAGAGTCTTGATATCTTGAGTGAACGTGCGAAAGTCCCTGTGATACCTTCATTGATCGCGCGAAATTCCCGTCTGCACCAGGAAGTTCTACTCATGCGTCTACAGCTCAACCGCAAATAGGATTTGTCGAATCATATAGTATATGCCACCCTATACACCCGACCACAAGCCCTAATCCCAGAACTTTGAACCCTGAACCCTAAACCCTGAACGGCAGACTTTGACCAAACGAACCGTAAGCCCCAAACCCCAAACCCTAAACCTCTAAACCCCAAAACCCTGAACCCTAAACCCTGAACCTTATACCCCTAAACCCCAAATCCCTAAACCCATCTTAGCCGCACCTCGTTCTCCCAGAGGACTTGCGTGGTTGCGAAGACATCGTCCGTGATACATTCCGGCTGCCCCTCAATCCTTATTGGTTGTGGGGGCTTTTGAGGTTTAGCGGTTTACGGGATTAGGGGTTACGGGCTTTATGGGTTTTAGAGATTTTGGGTTTAAAGTCTAGGGCTTAGGGTTGGAGCTCCTCAATCCTTGCTGGATACAGGGCTTTGGGTTCGGGGCGCGTGGTTGGGACGCAGATTTCACTTCCGAGCACCTCTACAGCCAGCTGCGGGTGCTGAAATCCTGCGGCAAGACCTTACTAGCCATAAGCAAGCCCGCCCAACCAAAACCTAAACCCCGGAGACTAAACCCGTAAACCCTAGAACCAAAAAGCAAAATCCGTAAGTTCCTAAACACTAAAGCCCTAGACCCAAAAATACAAACCCGCAAGCCCCTAAACCCTAAACCCCTAAGACCTGAACCCCTAAACCCTAAACCCCTAAGACATAAACTTCTAAACCCCTAAACCCTAAACCCTTAAACCTTAAATCCTACCCAATTTGCTCTCCCATGACCCCCTCCCCTTCCACAACACCAAGGTTCAGCCTCCCCGGCGATTCATGGAGGATTTCCCCTCTTCGGAAATCTCTACCAGCGAAGACGCCCCAGCCGTGGATGGTGGAGGGGGCGCAGTAGATGTCTGAGATAACTAACTTCCTGGGTTGAAGGATTAGGTTTTTTTTAGCTATAGTGATCATGTCTTAGGGTTGGGATCTTTCGGGGGGGAACCCCAACCTCAGTAACAAAGAGCCGAATGAAACGCAAATTTGCAGATGACTTGGAAACTAGCCAGCGGGACGATCCTTGGGAACCCTTTATAATACTTTATAAGCATACTTATTGTAGAGTCCGGCTACGGGGGGGTTAAGGTGAAGAGCGGGATGTAGCGCTCAGATCCATCAAGCTCTTTTCTGCAATGCTTTGGACACGAGTCAGATGACTGACCCAGTATTGGCCCTTGGCTCTAAATTCAAATATACTACAATATAATGGTTTCCAATTTCTTTTCCATTATCCCTATATAATCCCCATGTAATGTAGTAGTTCCCATCTATGCAATGACCGAAACCCAAGCCTCCAACATCCCCGTGGTCGTCCTCACTGACTTGGGCTACGTCGTGCCTTCAACAACCATATACCCTGCATGCTACTTATTTGAGGATGACGGTTGTCCCTTCAAACCCTCCGTGACCCCTGAAGCCCAAAGTGCTAAGTGCTAACTACACCCTGAAATCTCAAGTATACGTTCTAAGCTCCAATCCATAAACCTCTTAACCTCCAAATCCCCAAATTCTTACACCCTAAATCCCCATGAGCTCAGTTCTATGCCAGATTCGTCGCTTGCTCCACCTGCTTGGTTTGTCAATACGCGACTCTACCGAGAGAATCCTTGTATAGTGGGTCATATGTAGGAACCATGCAGGCTTTGGAGTGAAATGTGAACCTCTAACCCAAATTACCTACAGTTGATGGAGAACCAATGCAACAGAACACAATAATGAACTGGACACTGAATTTGAATAGGTGGCTATAAAGAAATATTGGTCTCGGATTTACCTGTAACCCCAATTATCTGCAGTTTTAGGCGTCATACTAACTAATCAAGAGTACTTACTACTAAACTGCGGGCAATTGGGCTTGCAGCCCCTAATAATACACTCTCAAATATTCTGCCCGAAATGCTCAGCTTCTGGTACAATGTTAGCCATTGATTTTTCGGGGTTGTCGATGGATATCATGAAAGAAAAAGGGGGGGTGCAAATGCTGTATGGGGCTCCCAGCAAAATATTCGGGTGGTTGTCAAAATTATGGTCCCTTTTTTTGGGGAAGCCTAAATAATAGGTGCCGTATTATAATAGGGATCCAAAAAAAGACCATAATTTTGATAACCACCCATTTGGCAAACAAGGGAAGTTTGATCACCCCTACCCCGCCCGCCAAAACGTACCCTATGACTCCGTGACTATCATCCTATAGTCCCCCTTAAGTAGATAGAATATGGGGTATATGGGGATCTTATTCTCATATACCCAAAGCCATATTCTATCTACTTAAGGGGAACTGTAAGTAAGTATTTGGGGTTTAGGGTTCAGGGGTGGGGGCACCTGATGTCCATTTGCTTTCCATGTCATTCCCTATTGTTGGGGGTGGGGTTACCAGACACCTCGCGTTTTTTCGACGGGCATGTAATTCTGGAAGCCCTATGCCCGAAACCTTGCAAGCCTGAAGTCTAAACCCTATACTAATACATACTAAACTTTTAACCCTGAACCCCAAACCCGTTCCCCTACACCCTAACCCTATACCCTGAATTCTGAACCTAAACCCCTAAACCCT